CGCTTGTTCGCAAGCTGAATTACACATCAATCTACACTGAAGTGCTGGGTGGAGAGAATAAATGATTACTTAAAAACAAGACCAACTATGCCCTTACTAGAAATATCCAGGTAGTACCTGCAGGTGCCTAAGAAAATAGATTATAAGAATTTCTGAAAAATTAGACTGATTTAATAAGATCTCACTCATTGTTAGTGTGCTTGTACAAAAAATGTCTGACTGTACCACTCACAAAATAATGGTAAAATAAGCAGACTAACTGTGTAAGAAATATTTGGAACCTTCTTTTGCTCTTGTGTTTATGCAGTACCTAGCACAAAGGTCTAGTCCACAGCCAGGTACCAATTCCTAGAATAACTGAGTAGCCAAATGTAAGCAGAAAAGACAAGCTATAAAAGAGCAAAATATCATTACTAAATTAGAAACACTGTACTTCAGTTTTCATTTCATAGTCACAATTTGGAGATGCAAAGACCTATCTTAGACGAAGTTCATGCAGCACTATTCCACTGCAATGGGTAACAGCCATACGCAAAGCATCCACTAAAAGCTAAGACAAGTTTCCCAGCTAGTGCCCTCGAACTAACAGAAAGGCCTGAATGAAGGACTCTCTCCTCTTCATCCAAAAATGTGAAGGGGTCGGGAGGGAAGGTTTTGTGAAAAAGCAAGGAGTATTTGCAAGATAAGCAGAGGAACAACAGTTAAGAGACTTCACAGAACCCAAAGCGGGTGCATGGTATTGTGCTTGGGAGAACAAAAGGACCAAAGGACTGGCTTTGGCTTTTGACAGGCTACAGGAGTCCAGGAAGGAAGAATTTAATGTAAAGTGCAGTTCTGATATGCGCCGTCTTCTAACCTCTAAATTGGGGCATAGAATGACTGCAGACTTCTGAAGTTTGACAAGTCTACAGGAACCAGCAGCTCAGGTCATTCAACAGAATCACATCCTGAAATGGGAATGGACCAGGACATAATATAGGCCAATTGATTTAAATTAGTAATTATGTCCAAGTTTTAGGAAGCAACTAAAACTGCAGGCCCAAAGAGGCACCACCACTGTGCCTCATTTGTTTAAAATCAAAGGCTTCTTCAGTGTTTTCAAAGAACTCCGGTAATAAATACTCACTGCTGTAATAAAAAAGGGACCTCCCTGCAAGGTTAGTATTGCTTCACAGCAAAAGGCTTTTTCTCTCTACTCAATTTTCTAATCTTGTTAGCCGTAGTTGGTAAAACAAAATAGTAATAGGGGAAAAAAACCTGTGTAACACCTTTAAATGCTCTCAGGAACAATATTCAGGAAAAAACATAATTCAAGTGAACAGAAAAAATTATAGAAAAAATTTCTGCTTAGTTTTAGGAACTTAACAGTGCAAATACCTTAAGACACAGGAAAGCAAAACTTGTAATTTTTATGGCATGACAAAAAAAACAGAAAGGAAGTGAGGTCTAGACCCAAAATTAACCACCGCATGGTCACAGAGAACTTTCAACAAGCCCCAACATAACGCTTTTTAAAAAACAGATTTTAGCATTTAGATAGACTTGCAGTGACTTTCAACTCCAAGTTACCTCTTCAACAACTTGGTACCCTTACTAGTACTTCAAATCCCAGATGGAAACAATTGCAGCCACTATTCTAAAAACATCCAGAATGTGAAGTCTGACACATCCTCATGTTACTCTAAGTGATTTTTAAACCACTTTTAGCATTTAATAAACTATCCTCACTGTACCAGCTTCAAGCACTTCAATATGGCCACGCAGTTCAGCCCTTTAACACATCAGTTACCGAGGGACTGGAACCACCTAGAAAACTGCATCAAGAGAGGAGTTAAAAAAAAGATTACTGTGCAATTAACTGGAAAATTAATTAATGTAAAATACAATATTGCATGCCTCTTTTGGCGTTCTATATTGCAACAGTTCACATTTTCCTTTGCTATTTATTTTTCCCAGTGCAAACATCCTTCCTGACGAGGGACATACCGATCTCATACACAATACACTGTATTCACAACTTCAGAACTATGACCTTGCAGGAAGGTACGTACCAGGACAGAGGGTAAGGAACACAAGAAGGAAAAAGAGAAAAAACCCCTTATCAGTCAAATTATCAGAGGTGATAAAAAAGAGAAACCTTCCACCTGTCTTTACAGTCCAAAAGCTGTTTCTATTTTAGTTTAACTAAAATCTTAATTCTCCAGTTGGTCTTTTGTATTTTGGACCTCATCAGAAGAGCTGTCTTGCAGCCTGCCACCTTTGATACCTCTAGGTAATGGACATCAGACTGTTCTGCCAACTTCACCTAGAACAACCAACTAGAGGATCTCCTGGGGTACAGCTTCAAAGCACCCACAAGGTAACAATGCTATTCTGATCTGGGAAAGATGCAGTTTCAGAACAAGGCAGCCTTTTTCTCTCAACTAAAATCTTCAGCGATCATTCCAAATCTACCTCATCATGTTATTTTCATTTTTAGACAATGTTATTCCAAGTATGCTTGTTTCATGTTTGAGCTTTGCTACAGTTCTAACAAGCAGCAAGTACAATATTTCACAGTCTTGTTAGTAAAATGGTGGTTTTCATCCAGGAATAGTTTTAAAGACCAAAGAAATAATCTGGATAACTGGAAGAAAGTCTTGCTGTGTGAAGGAACCAAGACAGCACCCGTCTAGGTCTTCTACAAAACCTACTATAGGTTTTCTTCTCTTTATGCTTAACTGAGGATTACACCATTTCCTTACTACCACACTGCCAGTACCATCAGGAAAGCCTTTCACGACCAGCAAGCACAGTATTGTAGGTGACCCTAAACGTTTAATTGAGGAAGATGTCTTCACTCAACAAGGTTTGTAAAGAGCATCACTGTGAAACAGCAAGTAAAAAACAATTCTGGAATCCCTAAAAGCTAGAAACGAAACCTCCTAGTCCCTGGTACATCTTATTCAGGCATCTCAAACCTGTCAGGAAGCTAGGTGTCCTAATTTACAGTGGCCTCTGATTCTTCTGATGTACCTGTCCACTGGCAGAACTACGGCAATGGAATACATGATTTTTTAAATTTTACTTTTCCCCCATACAAGAAAAGTATGATGTCAACATTGCTAATGATACTAGAGGAATAACTGGAAAGTTACTATCTGGCTATTCCATTTATTTCCTTTGGAAATTTTATGAACATAGTTCTCAGTTTATCTAAGTTCACAGAGCTGAGAACAGCTCGAAGCAGCAGTCAATCAAAAAAAGGAAAACTACAAAATTAAGCTTTCCTAGTGAGTATCAAGTGAAAATTAGGAATGCAGAAGAGAGAAAAAAGTTATAGAAATGAGGTTCCTGGAAACAATTTTTTTTTAACATGCTTTTATCCATTTTCTTGACATACAATTTATTTTACCAGCTGAGGATTCCCAGGCCTACAATGAAAACCTCAGAGGAACAGAGAGGTGGAAAACTGGTAACTCATTTTGAGAGCATTTTCCCCTCACAATGAAATATATCAAGTTACTCGTAATAAGCAACATTTACCCCTCACCTTACCTCTTAAACACTGAAAGTTTGTTTTTTGGCTCAATTGAAAGGATCAGCACTAAAAGTTTTATGCACGTTCAGTATGTTGACCATTTTGGTTTTGTTGAGTAATAAAATTATTCAGCCACATTCAGGACACAGCCATATAGGCACAAGTAGTCTTACTAATCACACAACTCTCTTATTTTGGCTATGTCCTTCCAGGCTGCCTCATTGTAACTGTCAAAATGGGCGTGCCAAAACACTTTCATGGAGTAAAAAAAGAAGTGTACATCTTTAATCCTAAAGCAAACACATGATAAATACAGAAAATCCAAAATATTCAATCAGTTTCTCATTTCCAGATAGCCAGTTCTTTACTACTGTTTAGAAGACGAACTATTTCATCAAGGATTAAGTGTGACCCTGCAGGCAAAGCAGCCCAGTCTTCCACAAAGGGCTGCCACAACCCCGGCTGCAAGGATGGGAGCAGGTTACCATCCTGTGTGCAATGGCATCACGCTTTCATGCTACGGGCTCACGTTTCTAAGTCAGACTAGAAGGACTTCCAAAGGACTACACTCTCATCCACTATAAATCCATTGCCGGTTCATAAACCTACTATTGATGTTTTAGGGCTACTACAAGAAAAGTATTTTAAAACTCCAGAGAAAAAAATCCTATATAAAATGTAATAAAAATGCAACTTCAGAAGGGGTCTTTCTACTGTAATGTAAATAAATATCTACTGTGCGTCAGTTTTTCAGATTTGATGCCAAGGTGTTGGCTGAACTTATCAAATCAAACTTGATGCTAACTGATTTGATGCCGATACCTTAGATCTAATGATGCAGAAGTGTGCATCTCAAACTGACTGCTTCTTAAAAGCATTCTGTGAAATTTACACTTCCATACAACTTTTTCTAAACAATTTACCTCAGAATAGAACTGGGGATGCAATTACAACCATCTCTTGGACACATTGTTAAAAAAGAGTAAAATAAAACATCAGCTTTACCTTCTCTTGTGAGCACATTTGGCTGACCCTTCCTTTCCTAATGCTCTCATTTACTCATATTATAAGGACGGGAAAAACCTGAACTTATTGGTGATGTGAAACACAGTATTATCAACTGTACTGTTGAAGAAAGTATTAGGTGTGAGCATGTGTGCAAAACAACTTCATAAGCAATGAAATTTCTATCTCATTGTGACTTTGAGTTTGTATACATCTATACTCGAATCAATCTTATTTAAAAAATTAGCTAAGAACTATAGTTCATTAAAGCAGATTTCCTATGAATTTGAAACTAAGAGACTGATATTTTCTGTTATTTCTGCACATGCTTATAAAATGGAATTGTTCTGACTCCTCTTTCCCCCTCTCCCCCTTATCACCCCACTGCTGCTTCAAAAGGTCCGTCCTTTCGTCGCTCTTTCCCCCTCTCCTCCTCATCCTTTCTTTGCTGGTTCTTGGCCTTCTTGGTCCTTACCTCGCTCATTTTCCCTCTTCTCATCTTCCCTGCGCCAATTCATAGCGTCCACATTCTTTCGTCGTTCTCTCTCATCCTGTCTCCACCGCTTCTTGATATCTTTGTCCTTAACTTGCTCATTTTCTCTCCTCTTCTCATCATCCCTGTGCCATTTTATTGTTTCTGCATTTTTCTGCGGCTCCACGCTTCTTTTGAGATAGTCTTGTCGCCTCCTCCTCTTTTTTAACATATCCCTTTCCCTGGCACGAGCCTGCTTTTCTTTCTGGGAAAGAAAAGCTTTACGGGGCATCATGAGCTGCTGCTGTACCTGTAATAATATCGTATCCATGGAATAATATACTATACATGCACTCAGTCAGGCACCAACAACTCTCATTTGGAGCTGAATACTTCAAATACTAAGCCAAGATAATTTACTGTGTCTTCTCTTTCTTTCATACCCCTCTGCTAGCTCCGTATTAGATAGCGACAGGTAAGTTCAGTTGCTGTGGGCTCCAGGCACACCACCTAGCTGGCCCCTCTGTGGTGGCGCACCCAACGCTGGGAAGGCAGCCCCAGGCCTCTGCAGTATGCTCCCTTCCCCTCCCCTACAGCCCCTCCAGTTTTCAGCAGCTGCCTGGCATGGCTGCATCCAACTGGAGGAACAGGCTGATAGGAGAGGTGCAAGGGAAACTTGTGACTGTTCAAACCTTAGTTTCTTCTCTTACTGGAGATCTACACACAATGAAGCTTAAAGGAGCTTATTTATCTTTTCAGACCTCCATCTCTTCCAAATTTGGTTGAAAATGGCCAACTTTTTTCTTGGCTGGGAGGAGGGACAGGGGATTAGGAGACAAGCCACAATCTGAAAAAATTGTATAAGCTTTGTTTCCTCGGGAAACCTGGCCAAAACATTTAACTGCAGTTAATGAAATAAGTCCTGACTCATCTACTCAAACTTCCTCCAAGTACGTTATGTCTTGCTATTCACAAGAACAAAGGGAAAAAGAATGGGACTATTTACTTGGAGTTTCTGCTGACAGCGTTCCTGATCAGTGTGGCTTTTGGGGTTTTTTGGCTGGTTTGGGGTTTTTTGGTTTGGTTTGAAAGAGGTGTCAGTGAAGACAACATTTTAACAAATTGGCTTCCTTTTCCTCATTTCTCTGTAGTCATCCAACACACTGATATCTTTAAATTTACTGGTGTTAATATCTGCAATTTTGAAATCATGGAAAACAAAAGAGACCACAGAAATAATTTATACAATTACTAATATCCTTTAAATACTCTTCTGTACGCATTGAGCAATGTTTCAGAAATGTCAAACTGCAGTTGTGGCCCAGGTTTGGGGTTTTTTTGTTTGTTTGTTTTTGAATTTTTGTTTCGAAGAGAGTTTTGCAGAGGTCTAATCAAAATGAAAACTGCAGAAAGGACAAAATTACTAGATTAGAATAATTAAGCAAAGCCTAAAACAAAATGAAACAAATGTACTTTTAAAATTTAGCTACCTTATGGAAAGCACTTGTTCCCAGCATGCAATACTCCATCTTTTTCCTACAGAAAAAGCAATGTTTCAAACCCTTATTCTAAAAGCTGTTCCTTTTCGCTACATAATATACCCCCCGCACACTTAAACCCACTACTCTAGTCCATTGCCTTTGTTAGGTACATATCATGATCCCATGGTTTTCATTCCAATAATTCAAACCCAATTTTCTTAATATCCATAATAATACTAAAAGGAAAGGGCTGCAGCAGAGTGAAACAGCATAATCAAAAAAAATGCATGCAGTTTGGTAACAGGTTAGTGCATAAAATCCAGATTATGCTAAAAATTACTTCATTAAAAAGTGTAGGATAGCTCTCTACTAGACAGCCTGTTTTTAAGTATTAAATATTTCTCAGTAAGTTATCATTAAAATCAAAAAGCAATGAGAATCCAGGATCAACATCATCAGTGCAACCCAGACACTGTAAATCTTTAAAATGGTTTTAATTTGTCAGCTGTGTGCCAGTACTACATTACTGTTGTTTACTAGAGCAAGCTTAACTTATTAAGTTTTTAAACATATATTATCTTTATAATTTTATCAGTAACCTGATTTTATTCCAATAACAATAGCATGTTAAAGTAAATCATATTTCATGCAAATGATTCTCCCCTCCATCCTCCCCCCACCCAAGGCAAGCACTGACATTGAAAATCTGTCATTTTTAAAAAACTCTTTTGGGACTCATTGTTATATTTTCTTTCATTTGTTTTTTGTTTTGTTGTTGCCCCCTCCCCCTCATTTGGCTTTATCTTTTCATTGTTAACTATAGTATTCCTCCCCTCCCTTTATACATATCCCAGCTCCTTCGACAGTGATTTATAAACAAATGATAGAAAATATCTTAATAAAAACCATTTCAGTTGAATTTCCAAAATTGAACATTTTAATTGAGATTCAAACAAGAAATGTCAGATTCCAAGAAATAACTTAAAGGGACATCCAACTTAAGTTATGTATCTTTGAACTTCCATATCACTTGTCACAGATTTTTCCCCAGTTTGTTTCAGCATGAGGGAGTACTTCAGGCAGTCTGAAGTCTTGCAGTCAAAATCATCTTTCACTTTTGCCTCTGTTGGTTTTTATAAACCAAAAGAGGGGGAAAATATTTAAACCAGGAAACTAATTAATATGCATTGAAGCTGCCAGACTGATTGAGCTCAAAGCCTCCCACATCTCCAGTTTTTCTGGAGTTCAAGTTGGTGTTCCTTTAAGTTCAAAATGTCCAAACGTCAGAAGTAAACAGTCAGAACTATCCTTTCAACTATTTTTTGCCCATACTTTGCCAAATGAAAAGCTTAACTCTTCCCAATCTATTCAGTACATATTATGAGGCATTTACCTCCAAAATTAATGGTGCTTGGGCGTCTCAGACTCATTGGACAAGTTTCATGCAAAAGCCTCCAAAAATAATTCTCCTTCCAGAACGCCCACCTCAGCGATTATATTACACCTACTGTGTGAGGCCAAAGCCCGGACATAGAAGAAGGATCATATCCTGCTGTACAAAACAAAGCGTTAAAGACAAGAGATAAGAAATGTAATAAGGGCAATCTTACATTTATAACGTACGTTTCACTGTGAAGGACTCCAAAGCTAATTACAAATCACATTTACGGTACCTTTATTGACACGGAGCTACTGTAGGGTGCACTCCAGCAAGTTAACAGTGCTGCAGGGTTTTAGCGGGTTTGTGGCTTAAACAACAGATTCCGCTGGGTGATGCTACCTGAGGAATATTTTGGTGCTCAGATTTCAAGTAAGTTACTCAATTCAGATATCCAGCAGGATACAGAGACAAAATGCTTCTATTCACACTTCATAAAACCTTTTGAATGACATGGTTAGGACCTCAGTTCACAGCTCATTGGAGCTATTAGTACCAGCAGCATCGCAGCACCTTGTATAGATGAGGTACTAGTAAAATACAAGTACTTTTTCCTAGAAGGTTCCCATACACACACAGCCCCACCTGAAATTCCCAGACTACGGGAGATAAAACAGGTGACATGGCAATCAGCCCCAACCCTAGGGACATACATTCATTTGGGGAGCATTCAGATTAAAATTTTCAGTTACAATGCTGCTGGTAGGAGGATGTGAAGGAAACCGTTTGGGGTAATGGCATGTACATGGTTATGCTTCTGTAGGAAGACTGATACCTCTTCAACTCACATCACCCATGGACAGAAACTCAGTCTTGAACAGACTGGAAACACAAGACATAACATTAGTATCATGAAGTCTGGAACAACCAAATCTGAAGTTTATAAAAGCAAAATTTGTTGAGTCATTTATAATTGCTTTTCCAAGTAATAAGGGTTTTTATTGTTTAAAATGGTTTGATTTTAACCTCTGTTGATTATTCAGACAGAACATCCACATCTTAAAGTACAGATTTTCTTCAGCAAGTGTGGTTTCAGCAGACGATACTAAAATGTTCTAAGAAATTTACAAATGGAAAAATTCTTAAAATACTTCACATTGAGGCAAAACTAAATATCACAAGACCACTAGCCATATCTTCAAATAGGTAAAGTTGATGGGTTATTTTGTTTCATACTGGACTATTTTCTAACTAGAAAGTAGCCCCTGTATCTCTATCCAGTCCAAATCGCCGCTTTCCCGCTGGATCCTCATTGCAGAAAGCAACGGGTGAGGACCGATCAGCCTTGAAAGCAGATCAGTGACAATTAGTGTATCTGTCTGAAGATACACATACTGAGCACAGGGAAGTTCTTCATCCCACACTGGGCCTCCCGACAACTGAGTATCATTTCCCTGCACTGTGCTGCTGACAAGAATCATCAAGCATCTGGCACTCTTCTGACTTTATATAATCCAAAATTCTTTTATTTTAGCCCTTATTTTGCTAGAATTTTAAGTTGAAGAATTTCTTGGTTTACATATAACAGCACAGTGTAGTAGCATATATCAGAGCTGACAGCAGCTGTATGTTCCTGGACGAAGTGAAACAAGAACGTTAAGTTTCTTGATACTGTGCTTTTTATCTCCCTATTCCAACTGCATTTAAAATAAGGTCTACTTTTAACAATTTGCTGAGCTAACTCTATTTAATAGCATGCTCTAGAAGGCCAGCCATGAAATAGATTTGCAAAGGGGGCTGTTAGTGCAACATTGAATGAAATATCTTAAAAGGTAAGAAAAACATGCAAGAAAATTAACCTATGGTTCCCACAGCAATAGAAAAGCAGCCTCCCCATGTATGCAGGTTAAATGATGCTATATAGTATGATGGTGTACAATAGTCTATATTCAGATGAGGACAAGGATGGCCTGTCCCAAGGAAGGTAGAGGCTGGGACTCTGGCACCTGACAGTTCCAGGACAGCTGAGCAAGGAAGAGTGATAGTCAGGAAGCAGGAAGTTATCTCTGGGAAGAGTGAGCAAATAAAAAATACCAGGAGCAGAGTCATCAGGGAGAACAGAGAAGTTGGAAGAACTGAAAAGTACCGAAAACTTCCTTGAAAAGGTAAGAGTTGCAATTAAATATCTCCCCTCCCTGCACTGAGTGAAAAAAAAGTCTACCCCCAACATGACTATCACTAAGCATTTTCACTTTCTTCTGTTGAACTCTTCTCTTTCCTCCTCATTTAAGCATTGCTGGCCTAGTTTTCAGAGGGCTGCGCACCCACATCTCCTGTGAAGGTAATGAGATTTGCAGTTTAACAGCACATCTGAAATACCAGACAACTAAGGGCTCATTTTTCAAGTCCACTATAATCCTGGGACAGAGGCTGTTT